CTACAATACAAGCAACTGGTGAGATTATAAGCTCATGCGATAATACGCTGGTGTGGGAATAAGCCCATATGGGAACAGGGTCGTAGTACAGCTCAGTGGGGTGTTGATCAGGCTATAGCACACCTACTCCACCTGTGTGTCTGATTAACCCTGCACGAGCAGAGGTGCACCGTGTCTAGTAGGTGTTGAGTGATCTACTGTGACATATTGGTACTTTGACAATGCCCGGGTACACATAACTCGTTCTATACATGAACTGTCCACAATATGGAGCGTACAGTGTTGGGTTCAGTTTTCCGCAACCCAACTATAACTGCAAGTAAGCTACCTGACATGTAGTTTACACGTACGTTTCGGGATTGTATAAAACCTGTACGAAATGCCGCAGATGCATCAAGCTCTGCGCGCACCTCGCATGCCTAAAGCAGGATGCTGTCTCAGATATGCACCTTTCTAGACGAATATGGACTGAATATTTTACATGTACCAAATCAAATTAATATATATATATATATATATATACCTGGACTGAAACAGAAAAAGAATCCTAAAAACTTGCATGTACTTCAACATACCTGGATTGTATGAGTTCTGCAGGAAGTGTACGGGATCGGGGTCAGAGGATGCCACAATCATAAGTATGGCCACAGGGTGGTCAAACGTCTCATGGGGCGAACCACGCAAACAGTTGAAGAACGCCCTGAGCACGACAATAGGATGGGTATGTACGAGATACGACAATTGAGATGACTGTACGACAATGGGATGGATATGTACGACCACGAGAGGATATGATACGACAAATGCGATGACTGTACGACAATGATACGAGCTTGGGTGACATTGGCATGTTGGTAGATCGTGTGACACGGTAATCAGAGGTCAGGTGGTATGATCCTCGCCTACACTTAAAGGCATCTTGCGTCCGTTGATATAGATGCAAGGGGCCTTTGCTGCTTGTTGGCAGGGTGTTCTAAGGGGTCTTTGCTACTTGTTGGCAGGGTGTTCTAAGGGGTATTTGCTGCTTATTGGAAGGGTGATCAGAGGTCATATGATATGATCCTCGCCTACACTTGATGACATCTTGCATTCGAGTACGTGAGTACACGACAACGGGAAGAATATATACGACAATGAGGGAAGAATATACGACAATGAGAGCAGAATATACGACAATGAGACTGAGTTTGTAGGACATTGGCTTGAATGCAAACATCAAGACACCAGTGGTTAAGCGCCGAGCTGTGTATAGGTGGGAGTTAGGTGTATAAAAGATGGTTGGTTGGGGGTAGGTCATATAATATGGAGCAGAGGTAGATACTGGCTTTTATCGATGATAGGGAGAGAGACGACATGTGGGGTGGTTGTCGCCTAAGTTGACGCATATCTTGCGTGCGTGCGAGAGAGAGAGAGAGAGAGTGTGTGTATGTGTACGACAATGGGTTGGATATGTACAACTACAAAAGAAGACTACACGACAACGAGTAATGTTTTGCGACAGTCCTTGTCCCTGGGTACTTGTTTATATTGACACGTACGGCACCTTCTTTGTACCAGAGATTGTACATAGATATACTTGCACATGTACACTTACATAGCTTCTATAGATACATAGACATACTTACACAGGTAGTGTATATGATCACACTTACATAGCTGCTATAGATACATAGATATACTTGCACAGGTAGTGTCTATGGTCACACTTTTATAGTTGCTATAGATACATAGATATACTTACACATGGATCAAAGCGCTGCTGAGGGCACATTACTTTTGAACTTTCGCACGACTGTAGAATGGGTCAGAAAGACATCACATGGACAACCCAACTCACGTACAATGGGACCTAATACATCACAGCGATTGACGTATACGATAACCAAATCAACCAAAACACTTTAAGCACAAAAAAAACCTCCCAAAAAAAACTACTCACAAACAAACATTAGTATGTACACTGCATAGTCAGTAGTTGGCAGCTGGGATACTTCTGTGAAGCATTTGAATAGCAGGTTAGTCCAGTCACCTCGTGCCAGATAGCCTGTGCGCTCCATTTAAACGAACATAGGGCAATGTATGCGTGTATACAGGTACCCTTTTCCGACGAGATATATATCAGAACGCTAATTTGATACACAGTGTGTGGATGTACATATATGTATATTTACACGGAAAAACGTGCATGTAGTAATCCGGGCAATTTTAAAACACCCACCCACATACGCCCATCCACCCATCCACATACACACACACGCACACACGCACGCACATAAACACTTATGTATATAATATATATATATATTAGGCAAAAACACATCGAGTATTTCCACAGCACTCAATCGTACCGTCTGAACGTATTATTGAACCAAGGGGTGGGGTCGGAGCACTGCAGATACTTCTTCACATCGTCTCGGTCTCGTACCAGCAGAGCATCGCAGAGAGTGGGACACACAGCCTTACTAACCGCAACTGTGGTTAGAAGACACAGACACATAGTGATTCAGCGTCTTTTAATGTAGGCGTACACATACGGCAGGTAGAAGTACGGTTTGAGGAACGGCCGTGTATACAGATACAGACATACGGAAATAGCTGTGCAACGTGTGTGTGTGTGGCTATCAGATGCCACGCATACAGTGCACAACAGCATGTACACAATAGTGTATACGGTAGCAGTACGATGCCTCGACTAAACGCAATAGACAAACAGACAACAGAGGTACGTTTGAGGTTTGGAAAACGTTTAATAACAGGGGTACGTTGTAGGGTTGGAAAACGTTCAATCCCACCAAAGGACTAGTCATATCAAGCAGTAAAAGCTCATTGTCGTCTAGCAGAGTAGTTGACAGTTCAAATATCGCTACAACCGCCGCACAAACACATTAACGTGCGGCGAAGACATGTAAGAATCATTAGCTGTGCGAGTATCACTTGAGCACGAAATGAAAGACAGACATCCTCGCATGTGTAGAGCAATGTACAACTCAAGTGTAAACGTTTTCTCAGTGTAGGTCCAAGGTGTGCTTTGGTGGAACGAGTGACTGCTGAAGCACTTCTCCATAATCTCAAAGCCCACGAGTGAAGCTTTGCAATGAGCTATAAAGGCTTACAATCAAACACATTCGTACTTCCAAATTTATATACATGTCACACAATTTATGAATACAAAGATGTAGTCAGAGATGTCCAGATTGAAATAAGTCTATTAGGAAAACAAACCAACAAACAAACAAACAAACAAACAAACAAAAGTATATAGACATACAGACATGATCATAGACAAAACAAAAACACAGACACAGACACAGACACAGACACAGTCATATATAAATATACATATATATATATATGCATATATACATATACATATACATACATATACATATACATATATATATATTAATATT